CCCCCCACCCACCCTGTTCACAAACCTGCCATCTTGGATATACCACTGTTTTGATCTATGACCACTCTAAATATCATTAAGTTCTAGTTGTTCATGTTGTAAAAATAACAACCCACAGACAGAATATTTAATAACAGTCACCAAAAGTTGATGAAGTTCCTGTAAATATAACTGGTTTTGGGCAATTCTATGTCGTCTGCTCTCTTGGTCTTGGTTGTAGTCACTGAACTGTGACAGGAATCTGTTGCTTGTGGTCCGTCTGCTCTGTGAATATTCTTTTGCAACAAGTATTGTTTATAAATCAGTATACTGTTAGTTGCTTGGAGGGTCTATCCTTTTGTAGTGTAGATTTGAAATGGGCTAACAAACCAATGGTATTGGTATTTGATTTGAACAATTGGATTTTGTGTCTTATATCAAATTGTAGTAATTATGCGTTTAAATTAGAAGCACTTAATATAAGCTACAGCTGGTCTTGTTTTAGGATCTTATTTGATCATCTAAGGAAAATTTTGAAGAAAACAAAATGGAGTTCAGTCGCCTTTTACTGCTGTTATTTTGGTTTTGTAAGAATCTGAAATAAAAACAAAATTTAAAAATAAATTGGCAGAACCGCAATTAAGGATTCTCCTTGGTGGTTACAAAAACTGAAGAATTTGCAAAACCACAATTAAGAAAGGAGTCTTTTGATTTAGAAGGGAATTGGACGAGAAATTTACTGTTTCCATTTTGTGGAGAGAATTTCAGAGAAATTGGATGGCACCAAAAGAGCTATGAAGACAGGGGGATCAGAGACAAGGCTAAATAATTGATATTGATTAGGACCGCTATGTAGCGTGTCTGAGACGGGCCCCAAGATAGGACACTCGATGTTGCTTGTCGTACACAAGAAAGGATGACCCTAGTTTGATACAGTGCCAGGCGGACTGTCACCGCTGGATTAGCTGGGCTTATGAATTAATGGCTTACAATGGCTTAGTTCTAATGACAAACATAAAACTCGGCCTCGGAGCAACAAAACATGTTGTTGTTTCTCTACCGGTGGTGTCGCTGCAGCTGTAAGCTTGTGACCTATCATTGTGACGTTACTTATTTACATATTGTCAACTTCAATAACATCATGTGTACATTTTTAGCAGTTCAATTTTAGTTAATACGAGTATTGTGGGAAAAAATAATTCTGAAATTAAAAAAAAATTGATAATTTGAATTGTAAATATTTCCTACAGAATTTTTTCATGATGTTATTTTTTTTTAAAATATATAACAATTTTCATAATAGCTTCATCCATTTATAGCATATATCTGCCAGAAGTTTTCTTCAACCAAAAATTTCTACACTATTTGTATATCAATATTTATTTCAAATATTACGAACGCTACAATTTGTTATTTTGCTAAAGTATTAAGATTTCCTTCATGCATGAAGGTTATTGAATTTCAGAAGTTGAAATGTTGACAAATATTGCTTTAAGTAGAGGGTTTTGTTTCACTTGGTTTCCAGTCCCCATTGTTAAGAGCGGAACAGAAGTTTGCTCAGTCTCCGTTGTTTGTCAGCCACCGCAGTCCACTATAGCACCACCACCTAGGTGTCATGACAGAGTGTGCCGAAGGATGCAATCTCCAACTCATTGATAGAACTCTCATTGATTTTGGGTCTTGTAGTAAATAGCACTGTTGGCTTTGAATTCCGAGTTCCGTTGAAATAAAAACTGTGTAAAATTCTAATCATGCTTTTAATTAATAGCATGACTCATTAGAAAATGTAATTATATGATGCTGAAAACATAAAATAAACGACATTCAGAATGCTTTAATTAATTTCAAAGACTCTGAGACAAAGTTGAGCGAAAGACTTTGAGACAAAGTTGAGCGAAGCTCAGTGCAGTAAAACTAGACGGACCTTGGGGCTGTCTCATTCTGTATTTGTATTACTACGATGTTTAGTAGCCCATCAGAGCCGTGGGCGAGAAACCTTACTCTGTGCCATTCTGATGTTCAAAAGCTAGTCTGGGTTGCTGTGATGCCAATAGAAGCTTGTCTGGGCCGTGTGATGGTTATAATCTAGTCTAGGCCACTGTTATACCTATAATCTGTGAGCTGTTACAATGCCTAAGGTCAAACTGGACCATCAGATGCTGAGAGGCCAGTTAGGGCCACTCTGATGCTAGAAAGCTAAAATGACTAAAGCCACCGAAATGCTTAGGAATTTTAAGGTACCAAAAAGCTAGTCTAGGCCACAATAAAGATTACCCAACTTGAATTCTGCTTGTCCTTTGTAGTCGATCTCGGCTCGTCTAGTGCAACAGTGAACAAGGGCGGTAACTCTAGTGACCGACTAATGACCGACTAGGACCATTCGCAGACCACCAAATGCCATCTGCCTCTGATAATGTGATTTATGCATAGGACATAAATCTAAATAATGTTTTGAAATGTTATTTTCTGCCACTGTGTTCTTGCTTGCTTTGGCCTATGTGATGCTTGAAAGCTAGTCTTGGCCACAATGATGCTTTGAAATGTCATTTTCTGCCACTGTGATGCTCGGTAGCTAATATTGCAGCTACCAAGTTGTTCTTGCTTGCTTTGGCCTCTGTGATGCTTGAAAGCTAGTCTAGGCCATGGTCATGCTTGAAGCTAGTCTGGCTCACAGTGATGCTTTGTAGCAGTAGCTATAGAAGCTCATGCTCCATTATAACAGTTTGGTTTCTGCGAGGACTTGCTGGCTACATTTTCAGCTGCGTCTAGGTTATTAGGTATTGCGCGAGTGTTGATCCAGTGACATCATCTCCTTGGTCCTTGTCAGGTGATGGCATTTCCTAGGTGTTTGGTACATTGATCATAACTTTATCATGAGGGAGGGGTCCTTTGTGGATTGGTTTACATTTATTGTATTTGTCAGTGAGGGGGATCTCAGTAGGTAACGGTAAAAGTGATATCTGTCATATCATGAAGAGAACACTTTGATATTTTTTGCTCGCTATAAGTGAACAATATCCAGCTGCTTATTGACCAAGCCGAACAGAAATTGTTCATGTGCTGTTTGCAGGTCTTTGTCAGATCTAGTAAAAGCGGAAGCATTTTGAAATAAATCAATATCAAGTGTTTTTGCTTTATCACACCAGCATTGAATCCTAATAAATTATGATGTTACATTTAAAAATCGGCAATGTTTCATAGAGATATCATCTCAGCAGCAGATGAGGTTTATGAGGTACGGGTTCGAATCCCGATCTGGCCATTGCATTTCCCTTTCTCCTGTTACATTTGTATTGATTAGATCAGAAACATATTCATTACCAAAAAGTCTAAGGGGAAAGGTTTTATGACGTTAACTATTGCATGTGTTTCCTGTTGGTTAGAGTTTGTATTGATAATGAAACATATCTGATGATGCAGCAGTATATGCGCTGTGCAATACGCTTTCTAGTGTTATAAATCTGATGTTCACTTCCTGCCCTAATATCAAGGGCAGACAGTAAGATTGGGGTGACACACTTATAAGTTCATGTCACTAGCTTTAAGCAGGGAAAGTTAGGGCAATGCTAATTAGAAAATCAACACAAGTGGGTTTCAATGTTTTAGGAAGTATAGCTCTAGCAATGATAATTAGGAAATTGAGCAATAATTGGCTTCACAGATTACTTAACACTTATTAAACTTAATAAGTATATCAACAATTATCAGCCCCAAGGACCATAAAGGATAGCTATATATCAACAGAAATTTAAAATTTATAAAAAGTTAAATTAACAATGATGGGCTTCAAGGATCATGAAGGATAGCTATATATAGGAACTGTAATTAGTAAATCAACAATGATCGGCTTTTAGGATTGTGGAGGATAGCTATAGAAACTGTAATTAGTAAATCAACAATGATCGGCTTCAAGGATTGTGGAGGATAGCTATAGGAACTGTAATTAGTAAATCAACAATGATGGGCTTCAAGGATCATGAAAGATAGCTATATCAACAGAGATGAGTAAATCAACAATGATGGGCTTCAAGGATCATGAAAGATAGCTTTATCAACCGAGATGAGTAAATCAACAATGATGGGCTTCAAGGATCATGGATGATAGCTATATCAACAGAGATTAGTATATCAGCAATGATTGGCTTCAAGGATTGTGGAGGATAGCTATATCAGCAATCAGTAAATCAACAATGATCATCTTCAAGGATTGTGGAGGATAGCTATATCAGCAGAGATCAGTAAATCAACAATGATCAGCTTCAAGGATTGTAGAGGATAGCTATACCAGCAGAGATCAGTAAATCAACAATGATCAGCTTCAAGGATTGTGGAGGATAGCTATATCAGCAGAGATCAGTAAATCAACAATGATCAGCTTCAAGGATTGTAGAGGAGAGCTATACCAGCAGAGATCAGTAAATCAACAATGATCAGCTCCAAGGATTGTGGAGGATAGCTATATCAGCAATCAGTAAATCAACAATGATCAGCTTCAAGGATTGTAGAGGAGAGCTATACCAGCAGAGATCAGTAAATCAACAATGAAGGGCTTCAAGGATTGTGGAGGATACCTATATCAGCAGAG